AATCAAAAGAAGAAGGAAAAAAAAAAAAAAAAAAAAAAAAGGGAAAAGCTAAGAGCTTTTCCCGTGGGTTTCCGTCCATACACCTCCACGACCACCCATCTTCCAACTCCGATGGAGTTTTTTGACGCCACCACCACCATCTTGAAGCTCTCATTCCCCACTACAAAACTCAGAACCACCTTGATTAACCACGGTGTGTGGCGGTTTGAAGCCACGAAAGTTGACGGTTCTCACGGTGCTCCGGGCACCCTTTTTTATTTTTCAGCAACTCGGCAAAGCGATGGCTGATGCCACCACTTGGGCTTTGTAGCCCATCATCCCAGGAGCAAAACCCAACCAACCTTGACCCTGTTGGACCACCGTAGATGACGAATCGATGTCGGGAAGTTTTAGGCACCCGCCGACTTTGTGAGCAAAATTGGCCATCTTTCGTCCACTTTTGGACTTTGTGGTAGGTATGAAAGTTGCTCCACTCACTGAGATCTTCATTTATGTGAAGTTTGAGAATTTTTGGAAATAGTTGGATTTTCCGGCGAGTCGGGCCGGTGCATGCGGCGGCACGTGGCCACTGGGCCGCCAATGCTATTTTTAGGCTATGTCGAATGTCTTGAACTTAGTTTTTTATTTGAATGACATAGGTTGATCGTTGGAACCTAAATTCATTACGATACGTTACTTAATAAAAATGTGAATCGACGATCCAATCGTTGGATCGTCACCAAACTTGGATACATTATAATACTAATATTTAAAGATCATAGGAATTTATGGATCAGGAATCCGGCATACGGATCTTCCCGAATTGGATTTGTAAGTTAGTAAAATAAATGTTAACCGCCACTTGGTTTTGGGTAATTGGCGGAGATTCGACCGTTAGATCGTAATGAAATTTTAATATGTTATTCTAGAAACATATTGTGGATCTTTAGGAATTCGGATTAGATATCTGATATGTGAATCTTCCGGGTCAAGTTATACAGGGTTGTAAACCTTACCGTCGATCTTTGATCGACTGTTGACTTGTGATCAATAGGTCTCGAACCATTTTAGAATGCCCTTGAGGTTGTGTTTTATGTGAATTACGTATTCTATTGATAAGAGTTCTGAGATGTGATTTGATAATTGGTCACAGGCGCTAATCATTTAGCACGCCTCGATGCGTGCACTAAAGAATCATAGCGTGGACTCTAGGTGAGTGGATTTTTTCCTTTTTATCATACATTTTATTGAGAGTTCTATCGACACTTTTAAATTGATTTAGGTATATTACCTTCATATAATTAATGTGAATGCTTGATGTACTAATATGAGCTACGAGTGACTTGATCCTTGTTTAGGATACGTAGGCAGTCTAACGAGACGTTAGATGCAACCATAATATATTTGAGACAAAAGCCTTATTTAGGAAATTGAGCAATGTGAAGGAAGTTGGTGGAAATGTGAGATTTAACCTTATGTTTTTGGTGGTTAAACGTTGGTCATAAATCAATGTGTGAGGCATTGAGAAAGTGAAGTAAAGAATCGTAAATAATGATGGTTAACTAAACTAATATTTAGTTGGACTTATTCCCGAAATAAATAGTTCGGGAGTGGGTGTTACTGCTTACACATATTATGCCATTTGTATATATGTTTTTATATTTGGAAATATTATGATATGGTTGAATTTTAGATTTACATTCTGGTATGTCCATGTGTGTTACCTGCACGTAATTATTGTGAATGCTTTGAAGTGCGAAGGTGAATGCAAGACACTCAGGTAAGTTCAAGTGAGTTTATAATATTAGTCGGATCGATGGAGTTATGGTTTGACTACATTTATGTGTTAGGCAACTTTGACACTGTTGTACTGGTTGCCCACGAGTTGTACATGTTGTATTGAGATGCATTAAGAGCTCGTAAACTTGCACCCCGGTGTTAGTGCTCCCGCCCGTGGCCAGGGCATAGTCCTTCACGTGATGTTCACCTCCCGCACCTTACGCTCACCTTGGATCCAAGGTAAGTGCACAATCCTGTCATACAGACCACTATAGGTGGTTTCGACTCGTAGATGACCCGCGATTATTCGCACAGTCTTCACATGATCGTAGCACGGGAGCGTACTTATTTACACCCAGTCTTGTCATATAGGTCACTATAGGTGACTCCGACTTATATGCTAGCGTTAATTGATGAGATATGTGATAAGATATTGATTAAGTCGTACATGTCACTATAGGTGACTCCTGACTTATATGCTAGCATTAATTGATGAGATATGGATAAGTCATACTGGTCACGCGAGGTGACTCTGGCTAGCATGTTGATGAGCTATTGGTTCAGCCATACTAACCACAATAGGTGGATCCGGTTGACATACCTTTTCATATTGATTTATATCACTTGGTTTATTTATTCTTGTTGAGATATTTGACACGGCATAATGGTGAGACGGTTATTTTGGTTATGGTTTTGAGTTATAGTCACATTTGTTATTTTTCTGGGAAATTATACAGGTATTACGGCGAGGGGTTACCGCCTTTGATAATTGAAATTGATTTGAGAAGTTTTGTTTTGCTCACTCACATTTTCTATATTTGCACCCCTTCAGGTTTTAGTAGCAGATTTCCGTATCGACGAGGATTCGTGGCACTTTTCAGTACATCTACCTTCTTATGATGGCATAAACATTATCTTACCTTACTGTACTTTACCTATGCTCTGTATCACGCGTGAAATGGGTCCAGATCCACTCATTGCGCACTCGTGTACTTAAGCACTTTTAGGTTTTAATTTATTCACATTTAATACATTATCACACTTTATGGCTTCGTCACCTTCCTGGTGTCGGCCAGCACAGCTCGATTCAGGGTCCTAGTGGACATTCCGGATAGGAGTGTGTCAGTTATTCTGGTATTGTCACGGACCATTTCTTCCTGCATTAGAAGGCAAAGCCATTATGTTTGGTGGCATCCCTCCCGGGTTTATTGGAAGGCATCTGATTGTAGTTATTGGTCGGCATCTAATAATAGTTGTTGGGAGGCAACTGATTGTAATTGTTCGGTGGCCCAGAATTCCAGTTGTTGCTTGGCTGGGGATCATTGTAGTTGTTTGGTAGAGCCATGTTGGGAGGCGGCATTGGAGCCCTGTTGGGGGGGTGGAGGACCCATGTTGGCAGGTCCAGGTCCTGAGTTTGACCCAGCTTGATTAGGCACATGAGATGAACCAGTATTCTGAAATTCACGATTTTGCATATTTTCCCTTCTCCTTTCAAAGATCGTTGATCTGTGAAAGTTATGAGTTCTTTCATTACGCCTGTTTCCCTCATTTGCTCGACTATTGTTTCTTAGCAAGAAGAAAATGAGAGACAGAGACAGAAAAAAAAAAAAAAAAAAAAAAAAAAAAAAAAAAAAAAAAAAAAAAAAAAAAAAAAAAAGACATGCCAACAAAGGGAGGATACCATGGAACAAAGGCAGGAAACATAGTTCAGGTACATGGAAACTGAGTGGAAATGTTTGCTGGATTTTAAATTTTCATACATTTGGTTGATCTGAAGTTTTGATCTTTCATATAATGCCGAGACATGTGAGCGAATCAAGCAGATAACAATAGCAGTGTTGTTTGTTGGCGTCTTACTGCATTCTACTCTTTATTCTTAATAGCTCGATAGAAAGACTTTAATAGGTTGTCAAGTTGCTGCTCAACAGGACATAACCATGTCACATAACGAGAAACCGGATCTAGAGCTTGTAAAGAGAGAAAATTTGAAAAGAAGTTTTGTTTGCAGACCAGAGCAGATATGCCAAAAATGGAAAAATGGAACTAGCTATGGTAACCTCATCCTTTTAACGCAGCGAATGAGCAACCACGGGAATGTGCTTAAGTTTCTGCATTCCTAGGCGCAGATGAAACAGCGTACGGAGGGTAACTTTTCTTCTTTCATAATTTACTTTTACACGGATACAATTTGCTTGTTTTTGTTGTAGATTAATGTCAGTTTTCTGGTGGCAACGAAGAGTTCATCAAGCTGCAATGCAATTTTTCAAGAGCAAAAAGTGAGTTCGGTGAAATGTCATTGCTGGAAATTATATCTCACCTTCACACGCATGATATATCTGGCTTCCCCCGTCCCCAGTATCCGGCTTGCCTTTTTTAACATTGATGAGAAGCCGTGCGGGTGTAGGCGATGGCTTTTATTTTTCAGATGTGGAAATGGATTCTATTTTTCAGATGTGGTTTCTCTTTTCCATTTTGGTCACAATTTTACTGATCTGCAAGGTTGTGCTGTGGATGCAAAATTTTAAACAGAACCGTAGTCTATTTTCTCCAAGATAAATTGAAGTGCAGCATGACCATATATTTTCTTTTCTTTTCATAAGGTCGTAGACTTCTTTCTGCAGCTGAACTGGGTTATAGTTGTCGTGTGGTGTGGTGGTTGCAGTGGTGGTGGGACGGTGGTAGTGATGGTGGCGATGGCATTGTGAAGATTTTACCACCTGTAAAACAAGGTTAACCCATAGAAAATTCTTGCAAGAGATTAAGTCTTTGAAGTAAAGAATGACTCAAGTAAGCTCGATCTCCTCATGGACTGGTATAAACAATTTATGAGTTTTCGGATTATTTAACTTAATTAACTCTAAGAACTACATTAATTTGACAAAACTAAATACGTGACATAAACAAATATCTAAAATGAGAATTGGCTTATAGAAATTGTGAACCAACTAAACAAAATAAGTAAATGTAGAAACTCAAGATAGGAGAAATAATTGAAGAAAATTAGATTGACAAAGTACTAGAGTTTGACCTTTACCAACAAAATTCATACGTAACTCTTCCAATTACTCAAGTATCGAGAACACACATTACTTATGTAGTTTTACTTGTGGTAGTACTTTAGTCTAAAGTATGGGGAAAAAGGCACTGTAGATGCCATCAATTCTTTGCCACTCGATTTCATTCTATTTACAACAATACCAGTGAAATGAGGTCGGGTTGGGAGGGTAATTCTCAAAAGTTCAGAGGGTAATTATGTCCGTATGGTCTAGCACGGAGCCACTCGATTTCATGTTATTTACAACAAAACCATCAGATCTCCGCTCACACCAGTCTCCAATGGTGAACAGAAGTCCTTTTCGAAACCCAACCCCTTCGAGACCAAATCACTAAAACCCGGCAGAGCTGACGCCAATCACAACCATGAGACGGCGGCGACGGTGAAGAAGAAAAAGAATAAATTAGGCCCGAACGCTGTCGCCATGAAGCACCAGGTCCCCCTAAAACCCAACCCGTTGGAGACCATTTGGTCCCGAAGGAAATTCGACGTTCTCGGCAAAAGCGCAAAGGCGAAGAGCGCCGAGTTGGCCTCTCCCGCTCTCGCGCCATTGAAAAGGTACTGAATTGCGTCCCTTCCTTTCTGAATTTACTTGAAATTTTGTGATTTTATTGATTTATTTATGTTTTGGTGGCTCAGAGGAAGAACACGTTGCTGAAGGAGTACGAGCAGAGCAATAAAGCTTCGGTCTTTGTCGATAAACAAATTGGGGAGCATAATGACGAGCTCAATGAGTTCGATAAAGCCATTCGGCGTGCGCAGCGCGAGCATCGAGTAAGCTCATTTTCTGAATTTTGCCCATTGTTTGGGGTCAGCTTTGTTTTCTGTTTGGTTCCCAGGAAAATTAGGGAAATAGTAAACAGTTGTAGTTCATCGCACAAAGCTTACCTGATTAAAATGTGTATATCTAACACATGATATCTAAATTTCCTTTCTTTTTGTCAAGCTTTCTACACAACTATAAACTCTATTTCAGAACTATATTCAGTTTACATTATGGAATCATGGGTAATTTATTAATGTGTTTTGCTTTCCTTTTTTCTCTTCATTTTCATGAATAATTAAAGACGAACAAGAAAAGCAAATATAACTTATCAGATGGAGAAGAAAACACGATAAACTTATACATCGATTTGTGTTTTATAATAGGTCATAGAAAACACGATAAACTTATTAATGTGGTGATATAATAGGTCATAGAAAACACGATAAACTTATACATCGATTTGTGTTTTATAGGTGTGGAATGCAACTACTGGGTCAAAGTTGTATACTTTCCAAGGTCATGATGCTCCCGTGCATTCTGTGTGCCCTCATAACAAACAAAATGTCCATGTAAGGACTTCGCTTTATCATTTTTGTAATCCCTTGATTTGTCTCTCTTCATTTGCCTTCTATGAATTATTTACTCTGTTTTGAAATTTAGCTTATGCCTTTGTGTTTCAGTTTTTCTTTTCAACATCAGTAAATGGAAAAATAAAAGCATGGCTATACGACAATATGGGATACCAGGTGGATTACGATGCTCCTGATCACTCAATCACGACAATGGCCTATGGTGCAGATGGTAAAAGGATGGTATACCACTCCTTTCAAATGTTATTGCGACCTACACCTATATTCCAGGCAACAAGAAAATTCAATCTTTACATTAAACGCAATGCAGGCTCTTTTCATGCGGGACAAGTAAAGATGGAGAATCTCATGTTGTTGAATGGAATGAAAATGATGGTGTAACAAAGAGGAATTACGTAGGATTTCAAAAACCATCTTTGGGTGTTGTTCAGTTTGATACAAGCAAGAATAAGTATTTGGCTGTTGGCGATGACTATGCAATCAAAGTTTGGGGTATGGATAAAATCAATATTTTGACCACTGTTGATGCTGAAGGCGGTCTACCAGTAAGTTTCCTTTAAAACTATGAATAACGAGTAGTGACTATATTCTAACGAAGTTGCTATAATGCACAAGAGATTGCTTTGTTTTTTAGGAAACTTGGATTCGCAAAGGATACCACAATCTATTTGACCGAATCAAAATGGGACAGCAATCTTGATGATCTGAAAGACATCTTCCCGAAAACGTATATCAAGGTGCACACATCTGTTATGCCTTGAATTTTTTACTATGTTCCAGTTTCTTTCCGAAACCCATATCATTGCAATGCTATTTCAGATGTAGATTTTGTACTTAATGAGTCTGGAATTCATTGCAGGATGGCACTATCCCAGCAGACAAGAAGTCAAAGTACCTGGATTCTGAATTAGTTATAGAAAGCTGCTTGGAACCCCTACTGGTGCATTTCTAGATCTGTTCTCTACTGTTCGAGAAAGCTGCTTCACTGCTTAAGAGAAGAGCAAGAGATAATGTGCACGAAAATTCCTGAAATCAGATACATATCAAACCAGGACGGACTCCTGCAGTTTGATAATTGTAGTATTTCATACTCTTTTTCTAAGGGGGTTGCAGCACAAAACTTTATGATTATGCAAGAGATACTGATATTGCTAATCACATGTTTTCAGTTTTTTTTTTTTTTTTTTTTTTTTGTGATTTTTATGTGGTGTTTATATGTGCAGGCGACAGTCGCCTTGAGGTTGGTCTCAAACGGTTTCTCATCAACTCATCTACCAAATCCACAAAACCAACTGCAGCTTCTTTGACTGAATGAACTGGTGCCTTTACTGCCTGCTTGGACTTTTTCTTCATGGATCTGGTGAGTGATTTCTTCAGCAAATCCTAAATTTTTCTTGGATGATCTGGGTGTACGTGCGTGTGTGGAAATAATAAATGTTAAATTTGAATGTAAATTTGGTTGAAAGACTGATTTGTATTGAATTGAAATGATATATTGATGTGTTGTTAAGAATACAAGATAAAGCCTCTCTTATAGAGAAGCCGAGAAGGAGGCAAAGACGCAACAAGCAATCAGTCGTGCCTTCAATCACTCCAAATTTAAGGAGAGAAAGTAGCCGAAAGTGGAGATGATGGTGTCCACGGAAAGCAAATAGTGATGAATATAATTATTAATAATAAATGTATTTGGCTTCTATATATGTTCTCTTAATGTACATTATTTTTTGTATATTTCAGAATTTCAATACAGAAGGAACAACCCTTGGAAGTGGAAATCCCTCCAAGGCCTCCCCAGAAGAGAGAGTGGAGGGGGCTATTGCATGTAAACATCTGCTTCAAATTTCTACGTTTCAATAATTTTTTTGTGATTTTGTAGTATTCTTCGTATAATTTGCCATTGATTTTGGTTTTTTTTTTTTTGTGCATTTTTTAAGTGAATTTGGTTGTGAGTTTGGATTTTTGTCTATAATTTTTTTGGTAATTTCATTTTCTGCATTCTGATGTTTGTTTATAAAATTTTGGGCCATTTTAATTTCTTCGTTCTGTATTTATTTGCCAAAGGATTGACCAATGATATTCTGTATTTAGAACTGTAATTTGGATTTTGAAATGGTTTTCTGTGCAAGTTTAAATTTGGGTAACAACCACAAATCTTCATTACTCCTCAATGTTTGTCCGTTGCAGCTTCAAATTATTTTAAAGCCATGTTTATGGAATAAAAAAGGAGCTCCCAACTATGAAACCCAATAAAGGTAGTAGTCTTCTCTTTCTTTGTCAACTTATTAGAAAATGATAACCTAACCATTGTTGTTTTCAACTTATTTTCTTATTGTGAAGAAGTTGTTAGCCTTTGTTGTGGCCATAATTGATACACATTTCAATTCACCATCTGTGAGTAATGTCTCAATCTTTCTCCATATTTCACACCCAATTGTTAATGGGAATTCACTATGCTGCCTTTATACTCCTGCAAAACTGTCTTATACATAATCTCATTAGGATCCTGTTTTAGTTTATTGGGACCACATTTTCTATTAGCTAAACCACAAACTCAAGCTAAGAACTGTCTTATACATAATATCTCATCAGGATCCTGTTTTTGTTTCTTTGGACGACATTTTCTATTAGCTAAACCTCAAACTCAAGCTAAGTGTTGAAATTTGTATCTAAATTGTTTAAAATTTTGTTCTGATCTTCTGTTAATGTTTTGTGTACTCTTAAGGTTGAATGTGTGGCATCCATCTACTCTTATATTTTAGGTATTTTAAGAATGACCTTTCGTGCTTTTTTACGATTTTGTATCATATGGTATGAAATAATACTTTCTCGTCTGTGTTCCAAATGATTTTCCATTGCCTGTTAAAGGGTTGTTAAAGAATGTGATCGGGTTTTTCAGTTTGTGTTGTACAATTTCATATGTAGAACTAACCATTGTAAAATTCAATCATATTGACACAGGTTTATTCTCAGCATATTTTTGTTAGGATAAGTGGTTTGGTGAATTCTGTATTATTATATAATCTTTGGGGCTATTTTAAGTGAAAATGAAATGTTGACATTGATATAGCATACGACGCACTTTAATTCACACCTATATTCGGTCTTCATGTTTCCATTGCAACACTCTGCATTTCCCAGCCAATGAATTTTTTAATAAAGATGTAGTTAAAGCAATTACATGCTCTATCAAGTATGTTTTATATGTAGTTGTGGTAGCTGCAAGGAAATGAAATATTTGTGCTGATAATTGGTAGTTTAAATGTATAGAAATAGAGAAGAATTATAAATGGAGCACCTAGGATATTTAACATTGTTTTCCTTTCTATGTAATTTTTCTCATGTTTAACATCTGCTTTTGCTTATGCATTTGATTCAAGTGCTATTTTTATTAGTGTTAATTTTGGGTTGCATATCCACAAACTAGCCCAGTTAATTTTGTTTAGTGTTGGTGTATAAGGAGAACTCTCATTGCATCGACTTGAACAAACATTCTTCTACTTAGTTGCTTAGCTGCTGAAACAAGAACGATTTACTTTTTATGTTTTTTTGTTTAACTGCTAAAACTGGCTGGCTGACCTGCAGGACATATATTTTGCCATCTTAACTTCAAGGGAAATATTTGTGTAAAATGCATATTGCTTAGGGAAACAAAGCATTTTTTTGCAACCACATCTTTTGTAATCAACTCGGTTGAATGTATATAAAAGCCAAGCTGCTTATCTTACCTACACATTTCACTCATCTAAGCCTTTTGTTCGTTCATGATTATATTAGATTTTTTTTGGGTTAAATTTGTCTTATTCATGTAGTTAAGGCTTGTGCATTCAAGTCATGCAGCAACACGGGGGCATTTTACTAGTTTAAGCTAAAACACATGCCACTACATGCAATTCATCCATGATGTTTGGATTAAATATAAACATGAGTGATTCATTAATTTTGGTAAAAATCCTTTGGTAAACCATGTAATTCCCAAGAGAATGATATTTACGTCAGGAGAAATTACAATTCTCACTCACAAGAAGCATAACCAATTTTAACGTGACATTCGTTCAAAATTGCATCCGATGACTTTTCTAAGCATCTTAATGGTGATCAAGGGCACATGTTTAATTCATTGATTGAAAATATCAAAGCAAGCATGTAACAACATTTAAGCAATTAAAAGAGAAATCTATGTATTCAAGTTGAGGCTCATGGCCTCACTCTAGCGAAAGGAAATTAGTTACACATACTTGTATTAATACATAAGAAATTATCTATGAAAAATCAAAGAAAGAAAACACCCTTTTTTACTAGACGAGCTCTCCATCCCTTTGCTCTCCTCTGCTCCTGACTTCCTCTCCTCTGCCCTTCAATGCTCTTCCACTTCTTTCCTCTGCCTTTCGTCCGTTTCTCCCTATGCCTTTTGTTTTTCCTCTCCGAGTCTGTTCCTTCTCTTTTGCTCTCTCTTTGTCCAAGTAACTGTAAAGTTGCCAACCAAAACCCAATCGACCTGGGTTCTCTGCCCTCCCAATTTCCATACACTCTCATCCCCTCTTATTTGTACTGTCACGGTTAAATCACGTCAATATTTTATATCACTATTGTTTTTTGTTTTATTATCTCTATAAAAAATAATATAAAATGTTGACGTAGTTTAACTATAACCGTACAAAATAGGAGGAGATGGGAGCATATGGGAACTGAGAGGGCAGAGAAGCCGGGTCCAACCCAATAATCACCATTCCCTTTATTTTCCACTATCTTTTCTTTCTTCTTTCCATAATGCCGTGTGTTCCCCCCACACTTTTATTTTATTTTATTTTTTCTTCTCTTTCTTTCCCACTTCCGTGTGTGCTCCTCCCTTCCGTCCGTTCCTCTGCCTTTTTTTTTTTTTTTCTCTTCACACGTTTAAGAATTGTATTATAAAGACAAGACTTACTATTTGATCCACCACAAGACAAGACTATTCCACTTAAAAGTATTCACTTTGGTTTGAAATCTTCTTTTCACAACAAAATGGTCGTCCTCCATTTTCATTGTCCCCAACCTTATCTTTTTGGTCAGATAGAACCAAATGCTACGTTATTAAAATGTGCAGATGCAATTATTAATCTCTACTCCAACTAGATTCCACTAGATTCGGCTTTCAGTAACGTTTGAAGCCCATTTCCTGTGAGAGGACTACGATAGACGTATGCTTGATATGATTATCTTCAGCTGAGCTAAAAAATTCAACCGTTTGCATACTTTTCCATTGTTAAGGAGTTACAATAGTTAATGACACTAATTATAGAAGAATATTGGCCAATTGTTCGTTATGTTGTAACTCCATATTTATGTGTATATTTATGGTCTTTAAGATGTAACCGTAGAGTATTAGCTGCTCACTTGTGTGTGTGTGTGTGTGTGTGTGTACTGTACATTGATGGTGTAATAACCAACGAAAATCAGTTTCTACATCCACCAAACTCGATCATGCTACTCCTAGAAACATAAAATGGAAAAAATATCCCAAATACTTAAAACTTCCAACTAAACTAGACAAGAAAACAAATATAAAAGGACGAAATATATAGTATAAAAATTGGTTCATCACGGTACCATAGTACCACTTGCCCAACTTCACGGGGCTATCTTAATTACGGTCAATAACTATTGATGCGTAAATACAGCATCTTAATGGACATTGCGAGTATGATGGATCAGATATGTAACTCAATGGTGGAGAAAAATGAGTGACGTCCAATCTTCAAAGAAAAATCATTTTGGCAGGAAAATAACGTAGAGCGTGGAATTTAATTCATATGAACAATACAGATGCATGTATTTAATTAGACCAAATTATTGAGCAATTCGAATACAGTTTGAGACTTTAAGGTTGGGGTCTCCAATTTGTGCCCCTAATACATGGTGAGATGAACGACAGTTATTGCTTTTCTATGACATGAGCGTTTTAGCCATATAACTAGCAAGAGTGCCCGCGCGATGTTGCGGGTTTTAAAATTGTATAAAATATATCGCAAGTTTTAAATATACATGATAAACAGTACTACTTGTATATGTGTGGAAATCCAATTACAGCCCTATCTAAAATAAGAAACAATGAGTAGAGTTGAACTTCCTTGATCAAATGAGTTTGTTTCTTCACTTTGTTCCTCCTTTCTTCTCATATATGCAAATGGTGGAAAATTTTAATTTTTAAGTTATTAACTTTTTAACATACTGTTTGGGCCCAAAATATTGGGATTGGGCCGAGCAGCAGGATGTGCTCGGCCCAAGGTAATAACACATGCTATGGGCCAAATAATGAGACTCGGACCAGCTGGCAGGGTCGGCCAGATCCGATCTTAAGTAGTCCAGATAAACGAGGAAAGGTCGAGGAAATCCTGATGCAACCAGGATTCTCGACCGGCAAGGGATAAAACCTCAAAAGTAGGAGAATTCAGAATCCCAATAAGACTGGGATTGTTTGAGTTAAAGGTAAGATGGGACAAGGACTCCCAATCCAAATCAAAATGGGAATCAAGGAACGAGGTGCTATAAATACAAGAAATTACGCAATAGAAAGCTCTCCACAATCAGCATACAATTGCCCTGCGCAAATTCTCTCAAACACCTTGAGATTTTTCCTTTTCTTTTCCCGCCGACACACCTTCAGTTTGGATAAACAGCACTGTGGAAGCAACCGGTGAGCACCTTCAGTTTGGATAAACAGCACTGCTGCCGCAGAATCAGCCGACCAAGACACACCTTCAGTTTGGATAAACAGCACTGTGTCGAGGTCGACCGATTATCTATCTAAGTCTCGGCCGAGGAAGGTTTTCGAACCTTTGTTGGTAGAGGTCATCTTACTAAGCCGTTTCGGCATAGTTGGGTGTTACGAATTGCCTTGCTCGGCGCATTGGAGGCCGAGTGAGTTTATGATTGGATACTCACAAGTAAGTTTCAGGGTTCGGCATTCCGACGGCCGAACTACGTTTACCATCAAGACATACATCACATTCGAGTACCTGTGCCCGTATAGTTTGGTCTCAATTCGGCGTGCTTATACTCTTACGAATATAATCACAGTGGCCGAATCAGGCTTCGACGAGTTGTGAACTCCGTAGAATTAGTAGCCTTGTCTTCAGGCTATAGAATCCAGAGACCGAGAGCGTTCCTTACTCGGTCGCAATCGCAAGATACAGAAGTCAACAGCGCGCTCAACGCGACCGCATCAAATTTTACTCCTCGGCCGAGCTCGGCCGACGAGTTGGCACGCCCTGCATTCAACCGAAGGACATTAGTTAGCTCATTAGTTATTCGGCCTGCGCGCCACGTAGGTTCTGTAATTTTTGTAGTCAACATTTTGGCACGCCCAGTGGGACCATTGTGCTAAACCTTCGGAGTTCATGACCGTAGAGACACGGTCTACCAAGAAGAAAACAAACATGGGAAAGTCAACAGCTGACTTACCAGTACAAGGCCTTGGGCAGGATTCGCACCCAGCAAAAAATCCGGTCATTGCTTTGCCACCCGAGGCTACAAGTGTGACCCGCCGAGAGAATGAGATCTGTCTCGGTGGGCAAACTCACAATGCGGCGATCCCGAATCAAACGACGCCCGTATTTGTGGAGGGGATAGTGGAAGACTGCGACGACGATGGTGGAGAAGGCTCTGATCCACCAACTAGGTCGTTTCTTCGGAGACGACTTGATGAGCAGTATCGTCAGGTCGAGCAGTCGATTGGTCAAAAGATGAATGATTTGTTAGAAGCAATACGAAGTAACAACGATACACAGACCAGAATGCTTGAAATATTAGTTAGTAAAGCCTTCGAAGATGGCCAGGTCGGCCAACCTCGGCAGCTCTCGACGAACGTACCCATACCAGCCGATAGAGCGTCCGCTCGACCGCAACCAGTCACTTTAGAAAGAGGACCAGGAAATAGATCCGAGGGACCAAGCCAGGGAGAAGAAGCCGCCTCCGTGAACATGACCGAAGTCCAGAGAATGATTGATTCGGCCTTGAAGAAAGGGCCGAAGTTTCCAAAATTCATTCATCCATACCCGGCTTACGTAGAAAGGTTTGAATACCCACGGGGATTTAAGATACCTGATTTCAGCCTCTTCGCCGGGGAATCGTCTTTGTCCTCATTAGAACATGTGGCTCGGTTCACGGCGCAGTGTGGAGACGTTAATAGCGACTTCTACAAACTACGTCTGTTTAATTTTTCATTGACAGGCTCCGCTTTCGCTTGGTACATTAATCTTCCACCCAATTCTGTGCAGAGTTGGGAGGAGTTGGTCGAAAAGTTCCATGAACAATTCTATCGGCCAGGGATGGAGATGTCAGTGTCATCCTTGGCCAGGATGGCTCAAGCATCCGACGAATCTCCAATGGAGTACTTAACAAGGTTCAAGTCGGCCAGGAATTGGTGCCGAGTACCACTTCCCGAAGTGGAATTCGTCAGGATTGCTCTCAACGGATTAGACGTGGAGTACAAAAAGAAGTTCCTGGGAGCAAACATTCGCGATATGTACGAACTTGCTCAACATGTCGAACAGTATGATTACCTGCTCCGAGAAGAGAAGGTCTCAAAATCACCATCCCGGGGAACGTTGTATAAAAACCCCACGGTCAGTTATGCATCGGCCGAAAGTAGGGATCCTCAGTACGTCAGTATGGATGCGGCCGAGATAGTCATAGACAAGCCGTACGTCTGCAAGGCTCTGGCTCAAGTAAATGGCAAAGACACCA